GGGGGGGGGGGGGGGGTGGGCAGGGCTGCACTGTGGCACCGGGGTCTGACAGCCATGCGTGTTTTGCAGGTGAGGGGCAGAACTGCTCCACAAACCCCTGCAGGAATGGAGGCACCTGCGCCAGGGATGCCGAGTCCTACCACTGTGACTGCCGCCCAGGATTCAAGGGCCGGTTCTGCGAGCTGGGTGAGTGCCATGTTGCTGCTGGAGGGCCGAGCTCCATCTTGCAGGCAGATGGTATGTGCCCAGTGTAGCAGCTGTCCCAGCCACAGGTCCCCCAGGGCACAGGTCACCGAGCACACCTTGTCAGCACCCGGCTCCTCCTGGCTGAGGGGGCTCCCACCATGCCCAGGCCCCGCTAGAGAGGGATGTGCTGTGCTGACAGCAGAGAGAGGAGATGGGCTCCGCTCTTGCCAGTTTGGGCAGATCCAGGAGTGCAGGTCTGCTCCCTGCTTCTGGCTGAGCCCTCTGCCTCCGCCAGGCAGCCTGGCAAGCCAGGCTCCTGCCCTGCCCATGTAGTTACCTGGGCACCGCGGGGCTGGGGGCTCTTCTCCTGGTGGGTCAGCTCTGTTGAGCCCAGCCCTCCAGGACAGCAGAGGGGAAGCCAGGGGGGGCCTCACTGGCCCCCTGCCACAGGGCACAGGCAGGCAGGGCCAGAGACGGGCTTGTTGATAGCTCCCCTCTCCTGTTCCCCAAGCAGCCTGCAAGAAGGTGCCACACTCGTGCACGCGGCTGTACTCGGAAACCAAGTCATTCCCTGTGTGGGAAGGAGGCACCTGCCACTACCTGTGAGTACTGCCTGCGGGTTGTGCTCCCCCCTTCCCCTTGTGCTCAGAGCTGGGGATGTCTCCCTGCAGCTCGGCTCTGGGGAAGGGAGGGTGAGCGCAAGGCCGTCTCAGACCCTGGCTAGCAGCTGCCAGGTGGCTGCAGCTGCCCCCTCCCCAGCGCAGGCTGAGCAGCCTCATCTGCCCTTGAGCCCCTGGGACTGCCCCGCCAACTATGTTTCAGGGCAGGGCGCTGCTGAAATGACAGCCCCGTAGCAGTGTTGCCCACCTACGTGGCAGCAAGATTGGATTTGGTGCGTGTGACCCCCCCCCCAAGCAGCAGCAGATCCCCTGCCCGCTGCCTGCCAGCCCAGCTCCTAGCTGCCTCTCCATCTGCAAGCAGAGGGCTGGGGCCAGCCCTGCTGCAATGCCAGGGCATGGAGGCTTCTGCTCTGTCCCCCACCCCACTCAGCCTTCCTGCGATGGAGGCACAAGGGCCTGGCTGTGTGGGGTCAGCCCTCAGGCATAGCAAGCTCAGCCCTGTTCCTACCAAGGCCAGCTACCGCAGCCTGGAAGGAAATGGGGGAGACCCCCAGACTCCCCCCTGGCACTTGTAATAGCAGATCTGTCCCTGTTGTTCCCTAAACTCGCCCCTCTGCTGTGTGTGCAGGTATAGGAGAGTCTACAAGGTACACCAGGACGTCTGCTACAAGGAGAACTGCAAGAGCACCGGTTCCGAGAAGAGAACCAGCAGGTACAGCTAAGCAGCAGCATGCTGAGCACGCCAGCCTTCCTGTGGCCTAGGACTGGAGGATGCAGCCAGCCGGTGTCACCCAGCATGTGTGGGGGTACCCAGGCTGGGGGTGGGCTGGGAGAGGGGCGCAGGCACCCCATGCAGAACAGAGTGCGAGGGGCGCATGACCGAGGCTCAGACGTCAGCTCTGCATGCCCTCTTTGTGAGCAACAGCTGAGGGGCTGCAGGGCTGATGGTGCTCCCCTCCCTTCTCTTTCAGAAAACCAAGCAACAGTCACACACTGAAGAAGCCATAGAGTAAGTACCCGCTCCAGGCCCTCCTCAGCCACAGGCAGGGGCAGCCCCTGCCCGTGGCTGGGCGGCGCCCCCTC